TGTAGCAATGTATGAGCTCCATAGATGAGTAGTCTTCAAACTCATATCGGTTAATGCCCACTAATTGCAACGGCGCACAACATTATGTGCGTTCTTAGCGCAAAAAAAAAGTATGATCCCTGAACAGTCCTACTTATCTCATTCAGGCGTATGGATTACAACAGCGTCAATCCGCCGATGTGAAGATGTCGTCATCAATCACTGCGCAGGTCCATTTGCATACTAGTGGTCTGTCGCGCATCTCCTGCTACCTAACAGACAATCGAACGAACGGCGCGGACCACTCGGTAATGTCTGTTCCCATATCAAATTTCATGAGAGCAACATCTACACTGCGCGCCAGACCAGACAGCAATAAACCAACTTGCGCAACAGTGAACGCACGCTCCCTTCTGAGCGTTCTATCACATACTGAACAAACTCTTCAGCTATAACAGTGTCAAAGATAAGAAGAAGTTTGAACTTTTGATAGCGCAGATCAAATATCAATATGATATCTTATGCCCAATTATGTCATCAGTCGTGAGACAAAGGTAGCGTTATCATTCAGAAGTAAATCTTAATGCAAAAGATCGCCAATTCCACCTTTCCAAAATCTGTAGATGTTAGATGGATTTTCTATATCCTGCGATATTCGGATCGCGGATTAACTTAGAAGAGACTTCATGGTATAGCATGGTCTAAGCTCGCAAGTGAATTTTGGTTTCGAGAAAAAAATAGAAAAAAAACTTATATACAGTAAAACGCCTTGGAGAAAAAAAAGCTAAACGTCTCATGTAACAAATTTGCTCGACTCTCTTTTTCCTTCTACACATCCGTTTTAATAACCCCATAAAGCAAAAATCAAAGCCCCGCTTGAGCGTTCTGAACACGAAACATGTACTGCGGCTAACTGTCAAGCCAGAAGATTATCCTTAGATCAAATAAGCGATGCGCTTCATTGACCTTGAAGGGCACATAAGCCGAGTACGCGCATCGCACTAAGCCAAACTATCGCCTCTTTATGAGGTTAGCCAACCTCATAAACGGAGAACAAAGTACCGACCAAAGAGTATGGCTAACCAGCTACGAGTCAAAGGAAGCGTCAATCTCCGAAAGCGTAATCATCTGTCAGGTGCTGACCCATGTCATCTTCATATCTGATTTTCGGCAACCTTCTTCTTTTGGAGGTCATTACCATGTATGGAGGCCGAATGCGATACTGAGTCAATGCAAGGCCCTCATAGTCTTTTCGGCACCTTATATAATTAAGAGGATACACAATTTATTATAAGCTGCATAAACCCCTCCAAACTCTAGCAGAGAAATTATCTTGTGGGAGGCAAGACATTGCTTCTGCTGTCCGTAAAATCCATGCATTGTTTATTGCCCTCCCTCTACTATTTCCAGCATCTCCTTTGTGGCATACGCGAAAGCGTTCCTTCAAATTGTAGTAGAATATGAAATCGTTTTTCTTACCTTTCCCTCCTCCAGACCAAGGCTTTCTTTCGCCCAAGATGCGAACTTGCCGACAAGCTCGGCCTGCTTTTCTTTCGGTGTCTTTTGGGCAGGAGCGGCAGGCTTTTCTTCGGGCTTAGCTGGCTCAGCGCTCGGTTCATCCTTCTTCTCACCATCACCAGATGCTTCTGGCTCAACCGGAGCAGCGGTGACAGCAGCAGGTTGTTCAGCTTCGACAGCAGGAGCAGTTTCAGTGACAGGTAGAGTTTCAACAATTGCGACGACGGGTTCAGGTTCCACAGTGATCGCACCAGGCTGTAATGAACATTTGATAATTCAAGGTGAGATAATGCCACATATTAG